CCAGGATGCAATTTATATAACTAGAAAGAAAGTAACATTACCAAGTCCATTCCAATGTACCCAGCCTCAGGGCATCTAACTGAATACTCAGAAAATCCTGCTGGCTTACTGAATTTAATTGCATGAGAAAATATGTTTTGAATACCATAATGCTATATTTATGAATAAGAAATCTAATGTGAATGTTTCCAAGTAGAGAATATGATTTTAAGTGGTCTGAAGTATAACTTTCTCTGATATTTTTAAAAGATACTTTTAATGTACTTTTTTCCCCCACATTTTTTACTGGTGTATTATAGTTGTACATAATGGTGGGATTCGTTGTTACAGATTCATACATGAACACAACTCTGATAACTTCTGAATAAATGGCTGCTGTTCTGGTAACAGGGCAAAAAGAAGCTACCACCCACCTCACAGGTTCCCCTGTAAAAAAACGTTCCCAGCAGCCAGAGCAGCAAATGCCTAGTTCGTGTCCACTGAAAACCAAATTATTACCTCAGCGATGATGTCTACAACCTTAGGCAAGCAGTGTATTGATTCTCTAGGGTACATTCTCCAGTGACACTGAGGGGAGCTATGGGAAAGTGGACATGCACAAATACACCGTGGCTAAGATGCACAAATACAGCATGGCTAAGATGCACAAATACAGCATGGCTAAGATGCTAATCCAGAATTTACTGGAAGCCACATTAAGAATCAAAGGGTGCCCACTCTGGTGCCCTACTAATACCACCTTTATGGCCAACAAGTTTTCTGTGAGAGAAACCTGTCTTTCCATTTTATTTATATCCCTCCAAAAGCAGATCATACTGATTTGACAACTGTCTTCCAGCTGAGGGCTAATTACTTGGAGAGCCATAATGCAAATGGCACTGGATCAAAGCAGATTAAGTGAGATTTAATCCTTTGGAAGCCCAGGAGAATATTAGGAGAGTGGAGCTCAGGGCTGAATAGATACTATATTCTTCTTTGGTTCTTTGTTCCCTGATCAAATCAATGGAAATGAACCTGCAGTGCCTCTTGGAGCAGAGCTGGCAGAAGCCCTGCCACGGGGCGCCTGTTTGCACTGCCTCCCTCTCTGGAGTGACGCCACTGTCACAGTGCTTACTACAGTGGAAAATTTATACTTTGGCTACAAACAAGCAGATGCTTCAAGTCTAATGGAGGACCATTTCAAATGCCGCAATCTGTCTTTTAGGGCCCAGGAACAACTGCATTTAGGAGTTTCTGTTTCACAGAAAAATTAGTTTCCAGGGCATTAACCAAGTGCTAACCAGCTATTTCTCCCAAGATTGCCACTGTGATAAGATGTAATTAACTTGCAAGAACTTAAGTTCTTTTCTCTCTCTATAGTTAAGCTATTTGACTTGAGCTCCCTATGTCCTTGGACAGGATGGGACCAAGATACTGGAGAAGGAGCTGGATTTATGTTATGTATGTATTTTCAACTAGCAAGTCCAAATAATAGGGGTATCTGGACTATCACAAACTGACATTTGATGGCTCCAATAAGATTCCTGAAGCTAGGGGTGGAAAAATGGCCAGGTTACACAACCAACACAAATGCAAACCCACAGTGACGCTAGCTGGCCACCACCACCTCACCACCCTGAGCCAAGCATAGGGCTGAGGGCATCGGAGGGAGACTAGGAGCAGGTAGAAATGCCAAGGCGCTTAGTTCTAAGAGAAGGTGGAAACGGGGGAGAGATACCTGCCAAGACTCTTGTTTTTCACTGCGGCAGGCATGGCTGCTGCCAGGGACAGACGCACCACCAGCAGGCCAGACCTTGGGCTCCCTGGTTTAGAGCTGGCTCGGCTCTCACTTCCTCTTCCGAGCCAACAAAGCCACCAGTGTTCCCACTCCAGAGTGAACTCCAGCACTTCTGAATCAACTGCTCATCTCTACAGCTAGGCCTTTCTGCACCACTTCTCATCCACAGTTATTCTTTTTTTTTTTTTGAGCAATGAAAGAAACCATACAAATGGCAAACAACTGTCTGTATTCCCTGTCTCATTTGAACAATGAAAAATATGGGTGCTGTGATCTCAAAACAAAATCTTCACTATGGTGAGCCACACAAGAGCCTGTACTTGGAAACAAAACAAACCAGGCATGGCATAAGGTGACCTCTGCTAGCCGGAGTTCTCACATGTTCCATGTTTCCTGATTCTTGGCACAGAGAAAAGTGGAAAAATGTCCTCTGCCCCCATCCACAGATGAGGTCACAGGAGAGGATGGATAAGCACTCTCTTCCCCACACTGCATGTATTTATTGGTTCCACTTCAATTTAAGATAGGTTCCTTGTCTGCTGTCTAGTTTGGCAACATTTAGAAGTGAATCACTGTATGATCCACTACCTTCAGAGAACAGTGGCTTCGATTCGACTGCTGGGCTGAATCCCTAACAGCAGGATCTGGATTAGATCTTTACTCTTTACCCTTGTCTTCATGTCTCCCAGGCCCCCACCTGATCAGCTACACTGGCAGGGCTCCTTAAGTCCTGCCCTTGACCATGAGAGAGGCACCTTCCTAAGAGAAGTCCAGCTTCTGAGAGCACAGATCACAAGGCTGGTCCAGGAAGGTTTGAGCGCAACAGCTTTGAAGATTAGAAGACAGAACCACCAGAATAAAAGATCGATGCATGAGCATCCACAAAGATAGACAGAAGGAAAATCAGGAAATGAAGCAAAAAAAACCCAAAAACCCAAGGACACAAATAGTAATACAAACATTAAAAAAAAAAAAAAGGTTAAGGGTGGGGGGAAAAGAAAAGAAAAAAGTGATTGACATACACACAAAGATTCTAATGAATATCGTACTGGGAGCTCAGTTCTTCCATGATTAGCCAACGTCACTGTTCTTGTTAGAAACTCTATGATCTCATTTATTTCAAATCAACTACTCAGTGAATTCTGCCACCAAAAGAGGAGACACTCTTTCAAGTGTGAGCCTGAAAGAAGCTATGTGACAGGAGTCCCACTGGGTTTTCTGAAGGAAGGCCACTGTCCACTGACCAGCCATTGTTCTTCACTTCTAGAAATTCATCTGAAGTCCAAATTAGTTTTGATTAACTAGCATTTCAAAACAATATGTTTTTGCAAATATTTTTAAAGGAAGCACAGGGCAGGGCAGAATCTAAGACTGCTCCTTGCCAAAAAGCAGGTAAATCTCAAGAGTAGGCAGTTTCTTCTCTTCTGGAAGATCTCCAGGATGAGAATCAAAACTACCCATTTCAGGCTGTGGCTGTGGCTGTGGCCCAGTAGAGCACTTGCCTAGCATGCACAAGGCCCTGGGTTCCTTCCATCCCCAGCACTATGAACAACACAACAAAAACAAAAAACTATCCATCTCCAAGGATGGAAGCATTTTATCCCTCAATGGTCAAGGGGTTCTTTGTCACACTCAGTCAGGAATTCTGTGTTAGTCATACCCATCTGCTCTGCTCAGTCTGTATCTTCCAGATGGGGAGTCACCAACATGGTTTGACTCACCCTGCTATCATTCCCATTCCATAGATAAAGAAACTGAGGCCCAGAGAGGTAATATGACACAGTAATGGTGAAAGCTGGGATTCCAGACACATATACTTGACACGTTATTAAAACCATGGCAAGCAAAGCACCCATCCTATTCCTGGCACATTTTGATTATTTCCCCCAATGAACTGAAAAGCTTCACTTAAGGCCATTGTCTTGGTATAGTCTGTGAATAAAAATTCCTTAGTGAATTTCTCTGATTGTAACTGTTAAAATCACTCATGGTTTTCAACAGACACGATTTGAGGATAGCTATCCTGGATAAAGTTCAAATAAACCAGATTGATGTTTCTAGAAATGGTTTTCCACAACTTACATCTTAAAAAGTGAACTCATTAGTCCAAGAGGAAAAAAAGAAAGAAGGGGAACAACATCAACAAAAAAAGCAACCTGGATTTATTCTGCCTCTCATCAAAACAATACTTATCACATGTGAAAGCAGAGAGGGTTGGCACTGTGCTCCCCAGACACTTGGCAGTTCATTTTCTCTCATGCCTGTGACTAAAACCAGACTTGCAAATTAAAAATATGCCTATCATTTTTTTCTAGGACAATTCAAACACAGGAGTCTGCAAAATTACCCACACAAACATTGATTTAAGCAACATGAATGAAGAATTAGAAACAACCTTGAGATCTATTTATTTTCCAAATAACAAATGGTAAGAGATTTTTTTTTTTTCCAAATTGGTTGGGGTAAAGATCAAGAATATAAAGTCACAGTCCTGATAATACAGTTACTTAGCAGATACTAACTGCCTTGTAGATTCTATGTAAAAAACATAGCCAATAAGAAAACAAAACAAAAAAACCCAATCCTAAAAAATTTACCAGGAGGGGGAAGAAATCATGTGTGCCTCCAACCACTTTTTGAGAATAGGGAAAAAGAAGGGGATGTAGCTCAGGGACAAAATGCTTGCCTAGTGTGTGTGAGGCCCTGGGTTCCATCCCCTGCACCACAAAAAATAAATAAATTACAACAAAATCCACACACCCCCACCCCCCAAAAAAGGGCTTTAAAGAAAATAAAAGGAATAGAAAAAACAGAGAGAAGATGATGTGCTGGGAACAGAATTTCACAAGTTGATAGCATTTTAATGGGGCCGGCATTCTGCACTCGGCTCTACCACTTTTCAAGAGACCTTGTCACACAATTTTATCTCACTTGTAAGTGGCATCACTAAGGACGTCTAGTTAAAAGTCTAGAAAACATGACCCAGTGGAAATCTAATACTAAATCTTATTTCATGGTTATCTTGGAAAAACCACACGATCAATCCAGACCTATCCTCTTAACCTAACAGGTTCATAGATTTAAATAGTCACTCATCAGCCACTCTGGGGAGGTGACTGTGTGACGTCAATGCAGTGGATAAGAGACAAGTTATTTCAAGCACCCATTTTGTGTACCTAATGATGAGCACATTAATTTATTTATAATGCCAGCTAAAGCCCTTCGAAAATTATTTCCGATTTCAAAGGGATTTTATTTATTACGGTACAGGGGGTTGAACTTGGGGTGCTCTACCACTAAGTTACATCCCCATTCCCCTCCCTTTTTTTTGAGACAGGGTCTCACTGAGTTGCCTGACCTGGCCTTGAACTTGGATTCCTCCCGCCTCAGCCTCTCAGTAGGTGAAGTTACAGGCATGAGTCGTCTCACCCAGCTTCAAAGAGATTTTAGAGGGAAGATAACTGCTGTTTTAGAACCTGCTATGTGCCAACCACGCTATCAGGTACTTTTCCAAGTGATTTTATTTTATTTAAAAATCAAGTATAAAACGCTGTAGTTAGACTTGACAGCCAGATCCTTATAGACTATGTGAGGATGAATTAAGCTAGTGCTCGGTCAAAGTAAAATTCATCAAGAGTATAAATTTCGGGTATTATTATATCCTGGGTCAGAGTGAGCAAGTCCCCATCTCTCAGCTCTGATGAATGCCACAGTCACTGTATAAAGAGGCAGGAACAAGGCCTATAGGATGGCAACAACAGCAGTGGCATCCTAGTCCAGGGAACTTCCCTGGATGGTAAGCTGGAAGTACTAAGGTGACACAGAACTGTGGGAAAACTGAGCCCAAGGGCTAAATCTTTACTGGCTGCTATTTACAGAGGGAGAGGTTGCCCAGACAACAAAGGGCTTCAGAGCTAGAGCCCAGGTGTGAGGTGTGGCTCTGGGATTACAGATGTTGGATGTTACCCGAATTCCCTTTTGCCCCTTTTTTATTCCATGAGAGTAGGCAGATTAAGAACCCCATGCCATGCCTGCCACCTAGCTAACACAATCATGAGCTCAGAGCCAAACTTGGTTCATAAGTCACCAGCTTCCTTTCCTGGACGATTTGTGCATTAATTATTTACTATTTTATAACAAATTATTCTAATGCTTAGTGGACTGATAAAAGCATTTGTTATCTCACATTTTCTGTGGGTCAGGAATTTGGAATCAGCTGGGTAGCTCAGGCTCAGAACTTCTGTGAAGCTTAGTGAGGATGGAGGCAGGAAATAGTCATCTGAAGGCACGGCTAAAGCTAAGGAATGGATGCAATCTACAGTCCACAGGCCCAATCTGGCCCAAAGCCTGTTTTTGTAAATAAAGTTTTATTAGAACACAGTCATCCTTTTTCATTTACATGTTGCCTATGGCTATTTTTAGACTACCATAGCAGAATAGTCATTATGGAGACTACATAAGACATATGCTTAAAATATTTATTATCTGGTAATTTACAGAAAATATCTGGAAACTCCTGGCCTAGAAAATCTGTATCCAAGATGGTTTGCTCACAGGGCTGCTGACAATAGGCCATGTTCCTAGTCATGTGGGCCTCTCCTCTGGATGCTTCAGAGTCCTTACAACATGGAGCTGGCTTCCTGAAGGCAAGGGAATAAGGGCAGAGCCAGTGTGTGTGTGTGTGTGTACGTGTGTGTGTTTTAAATAACCAACCCTTGGAAGAGACATACCACCATTTTGCAGTATTATATTTACTGCTTACTATAACACTAAGATACAAGGTGGGAAGGGACTTCCCAAAGGTACACTTACCAAGAAGCATGGATCACTGAGGACCCTCTTAGAAACTGACATCAATAGGTACAGACCTATTCCCTACACTATAAAATCAGGGGATAGGATAGGATAATTTCTTTAGAATTTTTCAACTCTAACATTTGACAATTATATAATGCAGAGAATTTCTGAGATGTTTTTATTTCTGAACTTCAATCACAGAATACACAGTCATCCCTCAGTATGAGGGATTTTATTTCAGCCACACATACCCTTCCCCTTGGGCCAATGGACACCAAAAATATGTAGATACTCAAATCCCTTACATAAAATAGCAATGCATTTACATATAATCTATGCACATCCTTCTCTGTGTGTGTATATGTGAGTGTGTGTGTGTATGTGTGTGTGTGTGTGTGTGTGTATATATATATATATATATATATATATATATATATATAGTGTGTGTGTGTGTGTGTGTGTGGTAGTGGGGTTTGAACCCAGGACCATGTACATGTGAGGCAAGTGTTCTACCTCTGAGCTACACCCTAGCCCTACTGTATAAAGTAAGACATCTCCAGATCACAGCTAATATCTAACACAATGTAAATGCTCTCTAAATAGTTAATAGACAGTATTGTTCAGCACATAATGATGGAGAAAAAGTCTGTATATGTTTATTAAAGACACAATTTATTTTCATAATAGTATCCATCTCAGGTTTGTTGAACATGTGGGTACAGAAACCATAAATATGGAAGGCAAACTGTAGTCAATTAATATTTGTTACTCAATTTTAGCATCTGTATTTTCATTTTGACTTATGTTCACCATAATATTATCATTTATGTTGGCAGAACCATTATTAGTGTGAAGTGATTGTTTTCCTTTAAGGTAGTATTTCAAAGAGTTCTTAAATTCAAACATTTCTTGTTTCTTTAATTCTATCCTTTGGAGAAAGAGACAGCTAACCAAATGTGCTGTTCTCAGGGATTACTTTAAAAGTCCATATTCCTTAGTCCATAGGTCACTATGTTTTTAATCCAATTTCTTTGGCCTACAATCATTGCAAGATACAACATTCAATCACATCACTGAAATCTTGTAGCACTGTAAATCAATGGAAAATAATATTGGATATTATGTTAAATAAAAAATTCCTATTTTAGCAGTTCAATAGTAATAAACAAACCTTAAAAAAGGCTTCCTACCCATAATAAGTGTTCAATAATGGCTTCCTGAATTTCATATGCAAATATAACACAAGGAAGATAATTTCAAATTCCAAGGACTAACATTTAGTACTATAAAAAGTACAAAGGGATGAAATTTTTCCCCTAATGTTATATATTTAACTAATGATCCACTCACTCAACAAATACAAATTCATCTGAAGTAATCCTGCCCCAGGAAGCTTCTAGTAGGTGGTCACAGACAAATTATCTTTGACCTTGATGAAGTCCACAGTCATAACATAAAAGGTGGCATGTGGTGAAATATACATAATTTAGATCTTAACAATGTTTAAGTATTAAATACATGGCACTTGGGTTACACTTTGTGAGATAAAGCTCCTGCCTCCCTGAGCACAGAGCCCTCACTAATCATTTAAACTAGCAGTACAAGGTCAATTTACCCAACATTTCCCTAATCTTTCTACTCCCTCTAAAGACAAATGCAAATTTAAAAGATTTGTTTTCATCAATGATTTACTCCTAAAGATAAAAGATGCTAGAAAAACAACAACAACAATAACTGTGTTAAGATTATTCTTTTAGGATGCTACTCCAGCATCTTCTCTGTCTTTCTGGATTACCAAAGAATCTTTTTCCTTAGTCCAGAAACTTGTCTTTGGTTCACTGAATCCTATTTTGGTGGAAAGTAAATGGACCTGGGTTTGGTAACAACCATTGCCGCCACCATATTTCTTTATAACTTTTTATAACTTTTTTATAACTTTTTATAACTTTTTTATAACTATTTCTTTATAACTTTATAACTTTTTTTTTTCAGTGATAGGGATCAAATCCAGGGCCTTGTACAAGCTAGAAGAGTGCTCTACCACTGAGCTCTATACACAGCACATCTTCACAACTTCTGGTTTGACCAGTATAATCTTTAATATCCTAAATCATTTAGTAAAAAAGTGAGTATGTTGATAACCAGCCAGGAAAACCAAGAGCTACTCTTACATCTGTTAGCCCTCATGGCCACGGAACTGTTAATAAATACAGAATCCGAGACTGGGGACCTTACATGTCTTACTGGAATATATCTTTTGTTGTTGTTTTTAAACACACAGTTTTAAGCATTCTGAATCACCTAGAATAATTTGTTTTGGAGAAATTTTATTCTTTACAAACACAGATAGGTTTTAGTGACACATGTGAACACTATCCAAAGCATACAGCCAAAGCTTCCCCAGCACATTGACCTGGAGGCCTTCCCAGTGGAAGGGACTGGTGCCTCCACACCTGCCACTCACACTGTTTCTGATCTACTGGCATGGCAACTAGGAAAATGATAAATTTTATTCCATATCGTGGCCTATTTAGTAGTTACACAAGTAAAAATAAATCTGGTTCTGATTTGGCCATGCGTCTTACATCTGGGGGAAAAATTAAGACATACAGATTTTAAATTTTTCTTAGAAAATCAGGGAGATAAGCAGCAACTCACATAGACTGTTTTACTGGGAGAGACCAAAAAGATCAGAAAGGCTTTCAAGAGCTGTAGTCTTATTTAATATCTGGATGCCTTAAAGAAATTTTCTCAAGGGAGAACCGACAACATAGGGGGGAAAGTGTGCCATCAGTGGTAAGAGAGGACTGCTCTGGAGCCTGAATTTGTTAGTTGGTTTTCTAGCTAACAAGTACAAAGGACAAATTGTTTTCAAATTCCATCTGGCCGAACTTGGGGTTATTTTACGGTCTTAGGAAGCTACCACTTTTACTGATGTCAACCGCAGTCATTCTTTTTGATTAAAAAAAAAAAAAAGTACTCGAACTTTGTCAAGGACAGGCATGGGGTCTGGAAGCGCTGTGTGGGACTCCTCAGAAAGCATTCTCTTCCCCAGTGATCACAGAAAGTCATGTGCCTTGCTTCCATTTTTGCTAGAGCACTTACTCTAACACTCTTCTCTTTTTATCCAAGGACATCATCATAATTTATTTAATACACTGGCTTCTGAACTATGTATGAGTCAACAACCTCACCTTGATTAAGCAAAGATTTATTGAGAGTCTGCTGGGCACCAGGCCTTGCGCTGTGCCAGGTATCACCTGGGTGGTGGGAATGTCACAACTCAAACGGGAGATGGAAGCAGAACCAAACACAGTGGGCCACACTCAGAAATGGGGGCAGGGCCTACATCACACTATGGGGGAGGCTGACCGCAGCGGGCAGGTCAAGGGTAGTCAGAGTTACAAGCAGCAGGGGAGCCTGGGAGCCCTGCTAGACCCAAAAGTGAGAAGAAGAATGGCAGGAGAGGATACTAAAAAGAGGTGGACAGGAGCCAATAATTGTTAAGAGCATCAGTCTCCTTTCAAGAAGGTTATCATGTATCAGCTGGAGAAAGATCTACTGTGTGAAGAATAGCCTGTGACAGGCTGACAGGCCTTGCCCCGAGAACAGCTCTGAAGAGTCACTGGCACGTGCAGAGGTTTAAAACAGTGCTTGGCTCTGGTTCTCAACCTCTACACGCCGGTTACTACTGCCCTCTCCTGTTGCCCTCTTGACTATTACTTCTGCAGAAGTGCAATCCTGACTCAAGATCTGGATCTGGCATTAGAGTACCACTCTATCCTAGAACTCCTTGGGGTCCCCCAAGTGACCCAGGGTGTCCACACATGAGGTATCCTCTTCCTCCCTCAGCATTCTATGCCCCGCACTCCACATGTGCACCTGACACTGTCACATTCCAGCCTCATTCTGATCTTATGAGGCAGGCACCATATTCCTTGGCTCTATTCAAATGTCAAGGAGACTATAACACAGAAAGGTCATGTCACCTGCTCAGTGGCTGAAGAGGATTGTGAACAAGCTGCTGGTACAGGAAGAATTGGGGTGGGCGGGTTGGGGTGGGGGCACTGGATCAGATGGCCACCCAAACTCTGAAAACAGTGTCAATTCTAGCTTCCCTTTACCTCCAGCCTACTGGACCCAGACCTGACTTTAGACCTGAGAACCATCCTGTCCCCAAAGTCTGTGGTTCTGGCATTGCTGGACACTGGCTTTCTTAGAGGCTCTTTTTTCAGATTCAAAATTTCATTGTTTTTTAAATTTTAGTTTTTAGAAACTTTAGATTTTCAGAAAGATCAAGCAGACAGCAGAGCCCCATATAGCCTACTACAAACATTTAATGTGAATATATGTTGTCAAATCATTATGTGATTGTCTACCCAAGTCAAACACTTTAGCACCCTCATTCTATGCTGTGAATTCTCATACTTTCCATTAAAAATGCTCATGTATCTACCATAACTTGAGAGCACAAAGCAGGGGAAGAAAAGTTCAGAAGCTCTTAGGAAATGTTGGGGAAATGGTTAAAACACATTTAACCCTATTAATGTGTTTTTTTGTTGTTGTTGTTGTTATTATTTTTTTTTTCTGGTGCTGGGGATTGAACTCAGTGCCCAGAGTCACACACACTAGGCAAGTGTACTACCACTGAGCTATTTCCCCCTGCCCAACAAAGAACTTTTCTAAAAAATATTTTATTAGTTATAGATGGACATAATGCCTTTATTATTTATTTTTTATGTGGTGCTGAGAATCAAACTCAGTGCCTCACACATGCTAGACAAGTGCTCTACCCCTGAGCTAGTAGTCCCCCTGCCCAACAAAGAACTTTTGATGAGGCTTGGGAGTCTCATGCCTGACTTGAGGCTTCTGGGAGCTGTAATAAGCATAGTGATATCTTTTTAAGGTCCTCATCTTGCTCTTTTAACTGACTCCTGAGGCTGTTACCTTTCTCAGAGGCTCCAGGCAGCTGACCCTGATCCTTGGCTGGGATGTGTTCCCTGGCTTAGGGAGGGCTGGTTGCCTGGGCTGGTTAAGTGGTGACAGCTCTAGGATGTTGTGTCCTTGTGCTCCAGGCCATCAAGTTATCAAATGGTTCCTGGATAAGACTCCTTTCTATTTTTAATTGGATCTTAAAATGACTGAGAGTTGAATAAATCAATTTGAATAGAAATAAAAGGGCATCACTAGGATGGTATTTACCGTGTAGAATTCTTCTTAAAGGTCTCAACCTACTGAAGCCTGATCATTTGAAGATGCCCTTTGCAAAGCAAACTGTTTTACTTTCCTCAGTTGGCCTCTCACCTTTAAATGTTTCTAATTTGCCTATATATTTGGAAACACTGCAGTTTCCTATTTGAAATGGAAAAAGCTCTGTTTGCAGGACATTTCCTTCCATGTTCTCTATTGCTTTCACTGCCACCCCTCCCATGGCTAGAGAAACAGTTGACTATACAGGGCACTTCTCCACGTGAGCTCCTGCCTCAGGATCATTTGCTCTGGTTAAAAGGTTGATTTCTGGGCCTTTCCAAGACCATGGGATGAGTCTTTGACTTTATAAAGCAAAAAAAAAAAAAAAAAGGTTTTGTGAACCTGGTCCAGAGCATACTCGCTCACACACTCACTCATCTGAACTCAGGACTTTTTGTTGCTGCAGGGTGGCGTTTGGCAGAGAGATGTAGTAAGGGGGAGGTTTTCTTAAAATGTAGGTTCTTGGGTCCCACCTTAGATTTAGGGAATCAGTGTGTTCAGGGCACAGAGTCCAGATACATGTGTTTTTCAAAAGTTTTACATTTAAAATACACAACCTTGGCAGGCTCAGTGGCACACACCTGTAATCCCAGCAACTCGGGAGTTGATGCAGGAGAATCACAAGTTCAAGGCCAACCTCAGTGACTTAGCCAGACCCTGACTCAAAGTAAAAAAGTGTAAAAAGGGCTGGAGGCACAGCTCAGTGAGAAGAGCACTTGTGTAGCATGCACAAAGCCCTGGGTTCAATCCTTAGTACCAAATACAAACAACAACAAAAAACAGCATTATTCAAAAACTGTCTGATGACTTAAATTTCTCAATCATACCTTGTCCATAAAATAGGAATTGAGTTGAAAACTAGAAAAATTCAAGCATAAATTAAATATAATATAATAATTATAACTATTAACAATTTCTATTGACAGGCTACTATCAATTTCTAGTCACTTAACAGTCACAAGGTCCAGGGACAGGACAGATCATTAATGAGATGCACTCTTAAATATATATATTTTCAGTTACTCTATTTTTTTTTTTAATCTGGGTCGGGGACCCAGCAGAAGCTGTCTCTGCTTTTGGCCCAGGGGAGCAGCCCAGTGAGTTGAGGCTACACTTAGTTACAAAGCAGATGGTAAAATGTCACAGGAAAGCAAAGGAGAAAAAAAAAATCTACATCCTAGAAATGGCTCCAGTTCAGCAGGTAAACCAAAGGCCTTGCCAATTAGCTCCACTCTTTGAAAAGCATGAGGTGGTGCTGACCTTCTGGTCCTTCTGGACCCCCTGGGCTGTGAGACTAGGAAAAATCTTTGTCTCTCCCTGATAGCAGCACGAACTGCGGGCCCTCGCAGCAGTGTGGGCCTTGTGGCAAAGCCTTAGGTCAGCAAGAAGGTGGCAAAGCCTTAGGTCAGCAAGAAGGAAGCCACTGCTACTGGATCTTCTGTCCAAACTTTGATTCTCAGATTAATAATTACAAGAAAAGAAAAAAGTAGAGACAGGAAGGGAGGAGCGCTCTTCCTGAGTTTGTTCGATGCTGAGAGATCCTGACCACAGTACTCATCATGGCCTCCTGCCCTTTCTTTGGCACAGAGAGCTTAAAAACCATCTTGAGGCTGGGGTGTGAATCAGTGGTAGAACATGGGTTCCCACCTCAGTACTGAGGGGAAAAATCCTCTTTAGAAGAAGCCAGAGATGTCCTATTTGAAGGCATGTGGTAAATAACACCAAGTCAAAGCCCAATTGACAATTCTCTGTCTCTCCAGAACATAAGAGCAATATCAGCATCCAAATCACCTTTTCTTACAAGAGACTGTTAATAGAGAATCACATCTATGTCCTCAGGAGGAAAAAACTCCAAAGAAACTTAAAATCTCTTAGATTTTTTTCTTCTTTTCAAGTAACGCGAGGTAGAATTTTGGCCAGTTTTCATTTGTCAATTAAGATGAGTGTAAATAAACTTTCCTTTGGAGTTATGGCTTGCCCGCTGTCAGGAACAGTGCTTCTGAAGGAGTCTCAGAGCTGACTGGAGATGTCACTCAGCCATGGCCACAGTAAATACACACCCTGACACCCCAGCAGAAAACAACAGCCCTGCCTCAGGCCTTCAGGTAAATGTATTTAATGACCTTGAAGCATGTTAATCATAACAGAGATCAATAAAAACATTTTTTGCTTTTTATATAAAGCTGTGGTAACATGAAATACTGAGGGGAAAGATTATTAACACAAGGCAAGATCTTGTCTTGACATTGAATTAAACATGTACACACTAGTCAGGAATCTGCCTGCCATAACCTACAAACATCACCAAAAATATAATCATTGGAGAAACAAAGCTCATGTAACCAACTCAGAGTCCATCAACAGATGAATGAATGGAGAAAATGGGGTACATATATACAATGGTATTATATTCAGTCATAAATAAAAAAATGAAATCATGGCATTTTCAAGAACATTCAGATGTGAAATGATTGGGCTATGGAAGGAAGCCTTGACCCAATAAATAAATTAATTCCCAATGGATTTAACTGAGCGGTAACTGAAGGTGGGTAAGGTATGGCTGAAGGTGGGCATGGTGGGGGGAGCATGCCTTTGGGGTATGTATTTTCTATATGGCAAATGGAATCTTTCTCTGTTTCCTGATCATCAAGTGAGCCACTTCCCTTCACCACACTCTTCTGCCATGATGTTCTGCCTCACCTCGAGCCCTGAGGAATGGAGCCAGCTGTCTATGGGCTAAGACATCTGAAACCGTGAGTCCTCCTCTAAAATTGTTCTTGTGTCAATCTTTTAGTCACAGCAATGAATAAGCTAAAACATGTACCTTCCCACACAACTTTAAACCAACACCTCAAGTTTTTTTCAACACACATTTTTTTTTCTTCCTCTTTTTAGTATTTTTATTGGTACATTATAGTTGCACATAATAATGGTATTATAACTTGGCCATATCACTCCCTAAACTACCCTCCACCTTGCCCTTCTCCCATTCCCTGATTCCTTTCATCCACTGATCTCCCTTTGATTTCCATGAGACCCATGCTCTCACCCCATAACCTTTCTTGGCCTTTTACCTCTCCATCTCCCACATACAACACTTGATCTTTTGAGTTTGGCTTATTCTTTACCTAATGGTCTCTAGTTCCATCCATTTTTCCTGAAAGTGCCATAATTTCATTTTTTAATTTATGTCTGAATAAAATACCATTTTATATATGTACTCCATTTTCTCCATTCATTCATCTGTTGATGGACTCTGAGGTTGATTACATAGTTTGACTATTTTGAATTGTGCTGCTATACACATGGGTATGCATGTATTACTATAATATGATGACTTTAATTCTTCAGAATAATACCAAGAAGTGGTATGGCTGGATCATATGGTGGTTCCATGCCCAGCCTTTTGAGGAATCACATATTGATTTCCATAGTGGTTGTATTAATTTACAATCCCACTAACAGTGTAAAAATGTTCCTTTCTCTCCACATCCTCTCCAACATTTAATACTGTGTGTATTCTTGATAACCACCATTCTGACTGAACACCTAAATTTTCATCATAAATTAACAGATGTGAAATATATTTTCTAGCATATGATAACTATCAGCACAAAAATAAAGTCATACTTTTAAAGCCATTCAAAGGATTTTTCATATTGTAGTGATATGAAATCCATCACCATCCATTTGAAAAATACATAAATATGCTCTTAATTAATAGTTAAATTTTTCCCCCTCACTGAAATCATATTTTCATTCAAGGAATTTTATCCTAGAATTTTTTTTTTTTTTGCTTTAAAGTCTTTATAAAGCACTCTCTCATACTTAGCTATAATAGTATAAGTTGAAATTTAAAAGCTTTTAAAATTCCATGTGACATACATCTCTCTCTGTAAGTGTTAAAAATAAATATTCTTACAACTGCTGAACATAACTTTTTGGATACACTGAAGAGATTCATCTCTTAAAGAGAAGGATTTGGCTTTGGTGATTGGGGGGGGGGTGCTTTACTGAACTCAGCTTAGCCTCTAACATCTCCATTTTAAAAGGTTCTGTCACCTGAGAGGTTTTCATACTGGGATCCAGGCAAAGGGTAAGGCTCATTATAGAAGGGAGGTGCTCCTTTCTTCTGAAAAGTGGGACAAGGGCCATCAAGAAAGGAGAAGTGGCCAGGATGGCCAGCAGGACACAGGGGCATCCTTGGGCAGTTAACATCTTAGGAAACAGTACATGTATAACAAACCAAACATCTGAAAACCCGGGCCCTAAAACTATCTGCACCCACATGTTCCTACCAAAGTCGGAGGAGCATGGCTGTTTGGAGGCGCTACACTCTGCCTACCCTTCTCTGTCCATCCTATTTTTCTGGCCCTCACTCTGTCTCTCCTTCAAACAAATGCAAAGCATATACTTTAAAACACTTGAAATTCCCAGCCCATGGGTCTGTCCTCCTGTCTTGATGTCTCTCTGACCTTAATTGAGAGGTTTACAGAGGAATTTACAAACAAACCTCATTTGCCTCATATTGCTACTTGGTCTCCATACTTGATTCATAGCCACAAACTTAATGCAAAAAATTTATTTGATGTTAAAATAAAGTTTATTCTATTTCACCTGATGTGTACTTTTTCTAAGGGGGAAAAAGGGCTTACGATGAGTGTGGGGCAGGGAATAGAGGAGGAAAGAGAAGGGAAAGTGGAGGATGTGCTCACATGTGCCCACATGTGTCCAAAAAATGGCTTAAGGAATTATTCAAATCACCAACATGAGGATCATTCCCTATTTACTTACATTAACCTTTTAAGTGCCGAAAAGTGTACTGATAACAAATGGCAAATAAGACCCCCCCCTCCCGAGAATTACTTTTGACTTCAAAAAAGTAAGACATACATAGTCAGAAAATTCAAACTGTATATGGAAAGGAAAATCTAATCACTCTCCTCAAAGGTATCTACCATATGGAGTTTGCTGTGAGCTCTTCCAAGAAAAACAAATGCACCTATCAGTAGTCATTCCTTTTTCTTTGCTTCCCTTTTTCCTTTTGTAATTTGACTCAAAGGCGATTGTATTTCTGTGTCTTGTTTTTTTCTACTTACAGCCAGTGCATATGTGTGTGTGTGCATGCATGCATGTACAAATACACATACACACACCAGCACAAATTTCTTTTAAGATAGGATCATGGTTTTATTATATGAATATACCATCATTTATTTAATTAGAAGAATTTGTTGTCTCCAGATTTCTGCTAGTAAAAATGTCTCTGCAACTATATTTTGATACACTGCAGATACAGCCATAACCTTAGCAAGAATCATTTCTGTGTTGCAGAATAATTCAAATCGTGATTCAACTGCATTCGAGAAAGGCTGAAGCAATTTACACCTCTGCCAACAGTACATAAAAGAATGTCCATTTCTCATATCCAATGACAGTGGGTTATCAACAACATTTCCTAATAGAACAGAATGTGGCATTTCACTGGTGTGTGAATTTACATTTCTTTAATTTTGTATGAGGTTAAGCATTTCTTCATTCTTTACCCTTTAATTACCAGATTCGGTTTGTAGAGACTTTTTTTGAACTAAAGATAGTAATCCTTTGTGACATATGCAGATATTTTCCCAGTTTGCCCAATTCCTTTGAGTTCATTTTTTTTTTTTGGTCATATAGAAGCTTTAAATTGTCCTTTAAGATTTGGGTTTGGGGTTCTAATTAGGAAAGCACCTCCCATTGGAAGATATCCCCAGGCTTTTTAATATACTTTTTATGGTTCAAGTTTTTCTATTTGAATCCTTCAACCATCTGTATCTGAGGCTGGAGGAAGGGGATTCATAAGTAATAAAACAAATAAAATGCAGTGATTTTCCAAAACAGCTCTTTGTCTCAAACCACATAATATCTTCTTTTTTCCACTAACATATTTGTCACTTTTAATATCAACTAAATTCCCAGTTTTATTTGGGTCCATTTAGGAATTCTGCTCTATTTTATTGATCTGTTCATTTACACCCATATTAAAAATGTATCTAATTATTATGATTACTGTATTATTCATAATGCTTTACTATTTGACAGAGCTTGGGACTTTTTCTTCATTTTTGGAAGTATTCTTGCTGTTTTCAAATGTTTATTTCTACATATTTGAATTGGGACTGCATTTATTTTTTAAATTTACTTATTTATATATGTATGTATTTTTAAGACAGGGTCTCACAAGCTGCCCAGGCTCACCTTAAACTTGCAATACTCCTTCTCAGCTTCCTGAATTGCTGGGAGGTGGTTGAGAGCCATTGCTCCTGGCCTGTCATTTCATTTTCACAGGATTGAATTTTTTTTTTAAATATCAGGAGAGTTTTAAAAATATTCTTTTTAAAAAATATTTTTTAGTTGTCAATGGATCTTTATTTTATTTATTTATATGTGGTGCTGAGAATCGAACCCAGGGCTTCATACACACTAGGCAAGAGCTCTACCACCGAGCCACAAGCCCATCACTAAAAATATTCTTAATTTAGATCATTATGTTCATAAATTATCACCTAAAGGTTTTATGTTTGGTTTCTTTTGTAAATGAGAATTTTCCTTTGATAATATGTTTAATTGGTTATTATTTCTTATGAATGGAAACAAATGAGTTTATATAAACTTTATAACCTGCTTCCTTACCAAATTTTCCTATTATTTTAAATACTTTATCTTGTGACCTTTAGATACATAATCTTCTAGTTTTCTAGTAATGACGAACTTGCCTAGTTCAGGTTACTTCTGGGTTTCTTAGTTCTTCCTCTCCTCTGTTGCTGTGGTAAGCATCTCCAGAACAAGGCTGAGTACCAGTGGAGAAAACATGCCTCCTGCCAAGACTGTGAATGCTTCAGGTTCCACCATGGAGCATGATGCTGGGTTTTGGTTTAAGATGTGAACACACTGGCTAGCCCATGTGCCAAAAGTGACCTTGCCTAAGACTCAGGAGCACAGGTCCCTTGATCTTCTCCTCTGCTATGTGATCAACGTGAGCACAGCTCTGTCCAGGGCCAGGCTCTCCCTCTTCTGGGGAGACCCCACCTAATCAGGGACATATAGTACTTTAACGTGGGAATCCCCTGTCTATTGTGCTATCTTTGACCTCCTTGCTTCTGTAAGAGGGACAGCTAGTGCGGGTCCTCTTTATATATTTTCCCCATTCAATTCTCCAAACATACAAAACAAAACAAAAAATCCTGTGCAAAGTGGTAAAAGGCTGACGAGACTGTTGTCCAAGATGTCCTAGATGTAGAGCTCGTCTCCTTAGAAGATACTGCCTTATAGATTCTGGTACTTAAATCCCGATGTCTTACCAGAGATAACTAGCTCTGGGCATCCAGGAATTTTCTGTCTCCTTATTACAAGCAGAAAAGTCACCCAAATATGAGCTCCAGCATGGCTGCTTTTTGGTTCTCTCTCTGTTATCTGGTGGAATGTGGAAAAAATGGAAAAGCAGTTCCTCCTTTCATGGCAATTTTTGCTGCTTCTACCCACACATTTTCATTCTTTCTCATTCTCCGCAGGATATTATTCAGGATTCTATTTACTCACTTCTCCTTCCCTAAGATTTCTCTATAGAGCAGAATTAGAAACTATAGGGAGCAGCCCCAGGGTGATTCTCTGAATTCTCTGTCTGTACTTTGGTTGAATGCTAGTTCTAATCTTTATTTAACATTGCTTGAATCTTTTCATATGCTTAGTTTACTCCTTCAAACCTATTTGTTGCTCACGTTATTAGGATTTTGGTTTGGCTATGCCATCTTAAACTGGAGTCCTCTGGATTTATTTAAGTTGGTAATTCAATGCAAGAGAAAACATTTGACTCCCATGAATTATGCTTCCTCTCATTTGCTGAAGAAATGCTGGGCATTTTTTTCAGGACAGTTGCTCTTACCTGCTGCTTGAGTGCCTCCAAGGACTCAAATTCCAATCTGGCCAGTTTCATCTGGATATGTCGTGGTTTATCAGGTATGGCAAATGCAAGTATAAACTTTAAAGCCAGGAGTGCATGCTGAAAACAAGAAAGAGCATATGTTGATATGCTAACACTCACTCATGTGTGCAAGGAAACAAATTGGAACCTACCCAGTATGGGATTCTTTTCATTAACCTTAGGTACTTTTTAAGTATTGACTTGTGAAGTATCAAAGACTAATCAGTTATATTTAGTCCACCCCACTGTAGTCCATTCTCTTATGATTGATGTATTTTGATTTATTCTTTTAAAATTAATTTTTACCATAAATTGATATCCTAGGCCACCCTCAATGTTTTATAGAAAAATAAAGTTTATTCCAAAGTCTTCCACAATTTTTTTTCTACCTGAGCCTTAACAATGTATTTCAATGTGCACTATTTGTCAAGCTGATCCATTCTCTGCCCAACAATATCCCTCGGTGCTGCAGCACAGGATGAGCTTCAGTCAATGTTCTTGTGTCTTCGATACAAGGTGCCTTAAACCCTCCGCCTCCCCTTCGTGTCTGGTGCAATTTCTTTCATGACATGATAACCACAAATATTGATTAAATGATTGATGATAACTGATTGTAACCTTATGCTGCTGACTCCACATATAGAAGGATCAATACTGAGAAATGTAACGTGTTTCCATGAAAATATAGAAAATCTAAAACCTGGCTGTTGTTTCCCTTCTACATTAGCATCATGACCAGTTCTCTATTATATAATGATGTGAGATTTAAAATTAACCCAAAGATATTGCTTCTATTGGCAACCGTGCTCTTCAGACATCTAGCTTCAACTTATTGATGCTTCTCCAAACCTAGCATCACCTGTGATCTAGGATCCACACCCACAGATATCTGAGCAATCAAAAGAATAAAGCATCTGTGATGACAGCATGAATTACAAAACATTAACTGCTATGTACTTTTAAAAGTAAGAAATAATTAAAAGGCATTAAGAAAATCAATGAAGGAGACAGATTATCCTTCAAGAAATGTTACACAATCAACAGAAAAAGAAGACAGTTAAAAAAAATTAAATGAATTCTTTACTGTGACATTATCAAAAGAAGGATGAGGAATAAATAGTAAGTAGATAACTCCTGGGAGAAGCATGACATGGGAAATGCCACAACAAGCAATAATTCAATCAGAAGACTGGTCAGGCCAGGCAAGAGGTCTGGAGTGGACCAGGGTTAGGCAGGTCCTGCCCACCATGACCAAGGGTGACACTGGAACATGCTGAGGGATCAAGAGCAGGAAAACTAGATGGTACAGCCTAGATCAGATGATATCAAATACTGTATTTCTGAACTGAATGAATTCAATTAACAAGAACCTGGATATAATCTACAGAGAATAAACAATTAAGAAAAGGCTATGCTGCACCATTATTTTATTCTATTAGAGTACTGAGGTATAATTTAATGTAAGATGTTCTCTTCAGTTGACATATCAAATAAGAAATAAATAATTTAGTAGATTAAAAAAAGTCTTTCATATTTTTCAGAAACTGGGTGGCCTTAGGTTGCCAAAGCCCCATGAAGACCACGTCACTGCCCCCTTTCCATCTCTCCTAACAAATCTGTACCCATTTCCTCTTCCTCAGCGTCTTGGTGGGAATTGGTTTAAAAAACAAAACAAAACAAAATGATCCTGCTGAGGAAGAACACGCTTCCCTTGGGCAAGCCATCTGGAAGGTGTGCTCAGACTGGCTATCTGACTGAGCAAGGCTGCCACAGACCTTAGTGACATGGTTTCCATAGGAACTATTTACAACTCTCATGAACTAAAACAGCTGGCACTGATTTGGCAATATTAATTCAAACATGAGAGCACTGAAACTGATTTAAGTACATATATCAACATACTTTTATGATTAATTCTCTATAATTTATTTTCTTAAAATGTCTCCACAGTGGTTTTCTTTGGATGGTGGCATGCGTGATCTCTCTATCCTTAGACTTTAATGAACATGCATTAATATGAGGGGAAACTTTATGTAAAAAGATAACACAGGAATTCCTCCCTTAATAAATAAATTATATATGCCCTGCCAGGCTCCTAACTCTATATAGTCACTATTACCTACCTGCCCAGTAAACAGACCAAAACAAGACAACCTACAGAGAATCCAGCTTTTATATATGGAGTACAAGAATAAAAGCTGAATGAAGTGGTCACTTCATACTTATTCAAGTATGTAGAGAACACTTATGTAGGGACAGAAGCTAAGATGTGGCTGCCATCCACCACTTTCTAACCTCCCCCTATCTATCATTTTGATTCCCACCCCCTACTTTGCTATACTTCCAGAAATTCCACCAATTATAAGTAGAACTACATATTTGTTTTAATACACATCATTTTTAAAAAGTGAAAAACACCACTGGGAAGGCCAAGGAATGTCAACTGTTCACAGACACTGGTTAATTAATTTAATTAGTCAGAGCTAGCAAATCCCTTCTCGATGTCCACCTCATCCTCACTCTTGGCAAATAGCACTGAATGCCTGGGACTGTGGTGAGGGAGACACATGCAGCTTCAGTGGCACAGGGATGACTTTGAGGAAAAGGGGCAAAGAGAAGAAGAAAGAATCCAATGTGGCTCCATAGTCCGGAGAGGTAAATCAGACCCTCCATATCCTGCTAACTGGTATCTTTTATCCAAGATCCAGAATTCAAGTCATTATGATGGATTAAGTAAGTTTTGTAGTCTAGACTTGAAACCTAAATAACATTTACAGCAAAAGCTCAACTTTTAAAATTGTTTATATTTTTGTATATTTTCCACACTGCTACTCTGTTTCAAGGCTGGGAACTGTTTTATGCTAACTGATCAAGGAAAAAAAATGTAAAAAGCATTTTAGCTATTTTGACTTATTTTTTTAAATAAAAGAAAACTTAAGTTGAAATAACAACTGCTCAAATTTGAAGAAAAACATACTCAAAATGAATAAGTTAGTAGGGTAGAAGGAGCTTAGCTATGAAAACCAATGATATTTCATAGGTCATAATTGTGATTATTCAATAACAATCTGCTTTTAAAATAAAACTCACAAAATTATATCCTAAACAAAGTAAAGAAGAAAAGAAATACTGAAGGGGAAGGGAGGGAGATGGGCAGAATTTTAAAACTAATAAATACAAAAAAGTTGGCTCCCTTCAAAAGTTTCATTAAGCATGATTTTAGGGTATCTTAGTTGGAAAAATACAAAGAATAGGACATACAAAATTGGCATTAGTGCTAAAGACTTCCTGGTGCCAGTGACAAAGTATTTAGCCCTCAGCCCATTGCTCACCTCTGGTCACTACAGGACTGTTGAACACTGGGAATCTAGTGCCACGTGCACAAACAGTGAGTGAAATCATTTTATTTTACAAAAACTAGAAAATTCGTTATATGGTTGGAAGTAGTAGCTGTGTTTTGTAGTGGCATGTCTTAAAGCCAATCTCTTCTGAAATAAAAATGTAAACTAGAGTTGAATTCTTAGAATTCTGAAAAGCTAATCTGATTCTTGCAGTGGCATATCTGCAGCATTATCTCTTTGCATTCAGAATCCAGCCTCAACTGAACAACAGAAACTCCTTCAGAAAGAGTCCTCTGCTGATTACCAGACAAATTATATGTCCAAATACATTTATGAATATGACCAGTGGGGCAGAGATAGTAAATATTATGGAATTAGGATTTTACGAAAATAACCTCAGGAATTTTCATTTTAAGGTAGTAGACTGCTAAACATATATATCTACCTCTTCCCAAGGGTTCCCTGAAATGATAGAAAAAAATATATATATATACATATATATATATATATATATATATATATATTTTTTTTTTTTTTTTTTTTTTTAAAAGGATCAAGACTGAATGATGAGAAGTTGACAAAACTTCTGAGGAGAGGACCAATGATGGGGATGGAAAATGCTGATTAAGTCTTCTGAGACAAAAGCAGGTTCTTTCCCAAAGAAGCCCTAGAGAGGGGACAATATCAGATTTGCCCACACCCCCCCCCCAAAGGAAAAGATTGTGCCAAGGAGTCAGTACAAAGTGGATACATTAAAGAACAGCATTCAGAAAAGCTGGGCCCATGTATGATAATAATATAATACTGGGCTGGGGATGTGGCTCAAGCGGTAGCGTGCTTGCCTGGCATGCGTGCGGCCCGGGTTCGATCCTCAGCACCACATACAAACAAAGATGTTGTGTCAGCCAAAAACTAAAAAATAAATATTAAAAAAAATTCTCTCTCTCTTTAAAAAAATAATAATAATATAATACTGAACTGAAAAATTCAACAGCAGGCTTGACCAAGCAGAAGTAAGAATGGGCAAATTCAAAAGACAGGTAATTTGAAATTACTGAGTCACAGGAAAAAGAAAACAATCAAGAAAAAAAAAACAAATGGAAAAAAGTAAAGAAACTTTGATGAGACACTATCAACTGGATAATTCTAGAAGGAGAAGAGAGAAAGAAAGGGGACAGAGCTTATTCAATAATGGTTGAAACTCCCCAAATTTGAGGAAGAAAACATTCAAATTCACAAGGATGAACTCAAAGAGGCCCTTATCAAGACACATTATAACCAAACTATGAAAAATCAAAGACAAAGATGAAATGTTGACAGTGCCAAGAGAAAAGTGACTCATCACATACAAAGGAGCTTCATCAGCAGAGTTCACAGCAGAAACATTACAGGCACAAGGAAATGGGATAATATCTCCAAGTGCTGAAGGGAAAGAATACTACATCTTGAAAAACTGTCATTAGAAGAAATAAATAGATAAACAAAAGAAGATGGCATTCATAACCATTAAATCTGAGTTAAAAGAAATGCTAAAGGGAATCCTTCAAGTTCAAATTCAAAGACACTAGACAGTGAGCGATACAAATGCATATGAAAAATTAAATCTATCCTGTAAAGATAAATATGTAGACAAATACAAAATACTTCAATAATGGTGATTTGTACATCACCTTCAATTTTGGTATTGAATTGAAAAGATAAAAGTAAAAAGTATAAAACAATGGGGACAAAATGTA